TCCGAGTGGAGGCTGACTCCAGTGAAGGAGCCATTGGCGCGGTGCTCTCTCAATGGCAGGAGGAAAAGTGGCGGCCGGTGGCCTTTCTCTCCAAAGCGCTGTCGGTCACCGAACGCAATTATGAAATCTATGACAAGGAATTGCTTGCCATCATGATCACGTTAGAAGAGTGGCGGCAGTACCTCATGGGAGCTCGAAAAGATTTCGAGATCTGGACAGATCATTCCAATCTTCAATACTTCCGCAAGCCCCAGAAGCTCAACCGATGACAAGCCCGATGGGTGACGGAACTGGCCAAATACCAGTTCACCCTGCACCACAAGCCAGGGGCCCAAAATCACAAGGCCGACTTATTGTCTCGACGAGCGGATCATGATCAGGGGAAGGAGGACAATAAAGATGTGGTCGTCTTGAAACCGGCTCATTTTCGAGCCCTCATCATGCCCACCATGGAGGAGTTACATGAAAAGATCGGGCTAGCTACTCATGACCCCCGCAAGTGGGACCAGGGTATCTCGGACTCCCTCAATCACGAAAAGGGAGTCTCTCGAGTCCAGGACCTCTTGTGGTACGACGGACATCTCTACGTGCCACGAGACAAACAATTGCGAGGCGAAATTATCGCCCTCTACCATGACCACGTAACGGCAGGGCACCCGGGGATAGAAAAGACGAAAGAACTTGTCTTGCGGGACTATTGGTGGCCCCGAATGCGCCCAGAAATTGAAGCCTATGTGAGAGGGTGTGAGGTTTGCCAACGCACCAAAGCGGACCGACGCCCCAAGAAGGCACCCCTTCACCCAAATGAAGTTCCAAGCCGACCGTGGACTCACATCTCGGTCGACATGATCACCAAGCTCCCTGACTCCAAAGGGAATAACTCCATACTCGTCATAGTGGACAGGTTTTCTAAAACCATAATCCCAATCGCCTGTACCGAGGAACTCTCGTCCCTCGGTTTTGCTAAAATCCTACGAGACTACATCTACGTACCGTACGGCGTAATGCCGGAGAAAGTCATCTCGGACAGGGGCGCCGTCTTCATATCAAAATTCATGAAAGAGTTTTACGCGCTCATACAGGTGACGGGGAACCCCTCCACGGCGTACCACCCTCAGACAGACGGACAAACCGAGAGGGTGAATCAGGAGATTGAAAAATATCTCAAGATGTTCGTCAACTACCGACAGAACGATTGGAGCGACTGGTTGCCGCTCGCCGCGTTTACTCATAACAATCGGAAACATTCGGCGACAGGCTTCTCGCCCTACAAAGTAGTCTTTGGACAGGACGGTCAGGTTATCAAGACGGCTCAACGACCAGATGCTGTACCGGCCGCGTCGAAACTAGTCCAGGGGATACAAGAGGTGCAGGAGAAAGCAAAGGAATCACTCGAGCGAGCGGCGGAATTGATGAAGAAGGCTTACGACAAGCGAAAGGGGGAGTCGAAAGGGTACGAAGCCGGTGACAAGGTGTGGCTAGACTCTACAAACCTAAGTCTTCCACGCCCCACCAAGAAACTAGCAGATAGGCGAGTAGGACCCTTCACTGTTGTTGCAAAGAAAGGGGCCTCCGCATACGAACTCAAACTTCCCACGAAGTGGTGTATCCACAACCGATTCAACGAGTCGTTATTGACTCCATATCACGCTCCTGAATTCCCAAATCAGCCACGTCCCGAACGGCCGCCCCCAGAGCTAATCGAGGATGAAGAAGAATATGAGATAGAAGAAATAGTGGGAGAGAGGGATCGTGTCGTGGGTCGCGGACGAACCCGCCACACTATCACCGAATATTTGGTAAAGTGGAAAGGGTACCCAGCGGAGGAAAACTCGTGGGTCAAACGCTCTGATATGGCTAATGCCGAAGACCTCGTCAATGACTACGAAGCACGGATTCAAAAAATCGTGTGGACAGTAAACGACAAGGGGAAGACGATCGGATTTGACGACAAAATACCACGTAACCTACCAATCCAGTACCACGATCCCGACACCCCATGTATCACCGACATCGAAACGGTGTATTCATCCGAGTGTACGAATCCGAAACACTCCGATACCCAACAAGACTCTTATGCCTCTTCCGAGGTCGTCGATGCTATTAACTTCTCCAATGACTGCCCAGACAAAGAAGGGGAGGTGAACCTTGAAAACCTCGAACGCATACGGGAAAATTGGGACTCAGACACCAATAACGATGAAGACACAGACGACGATACCTGGTCGTTCTATTCCGAATCAAACCATTCCAATTCCAGCAGCGGAGGATATTCAGACAATTCACTCTCAACGGACGCGAACTAGACAAAAGGACTTTTCACGGTGTAGAAGGGGATTTCCACCACTCAATTATGAGCATTGAACCCTTAGGGACCGCGGGTCCCGACAGACAGTTGAGGCCTAACCGGCGCAAGGTGGCTCAGGAAGGCTAGGAACCTGAGTCCAGGGGGAGAGCGGGTCAGAGGCCGAACACAACGAGTGACTTTTCTAGGTGTAGCGGAGGCCCAATCGATCCTGTTTTAAAGCAGAAGGGAGACCCTCATTCTCGCTCTTGTGGAGGGAAGGGGAAACCGAGGTTCAGTGTCTCATCGGGACGAATGAGCCTTAAGGGGGGGGTAATGTTACGATTTATTCTTTTCCTTTCCTTTTCTTTTCTTTTCTTTTCTTTTCCCTTTCTTACTCAGCCGGATTACGCACGAGCGATCATCACGGACTGACTCCCACAGTACTATTTTTAGTGTACCAACGTGTATTTAAGTAGAGCCTCAGCTGGTCTAAACCCCAGCTTCGGCTAAGGTTTAATCTACCTAACATCGAACTCCATCCTTCGTGACTATCTGTCCCATCGACTTTCATCGCCTTTGACTTGCTAAAGCATCGTCTACCGAAGTGCGAGTAGCGACCTTAGTACGATCTAAGTCGATAGAGTTAGTGGCTAACAATCCTGGTCATTGTAGATCGATTTTCCAAGACCATCATTCCAATTGCCTGCACAGAAGAAATCTCATCCTTAGGCTTCGCCAAGATCTTACGGGACTACGTTTATGTACCGTATGGCGTCATGCCGGAGAAGGTTATCTCAGACCGAGGAGCAGTTTTCGTTTCCAAATTCATGAAAGAGTTCTACGCTCTTCTCCAGGTTACCGGGAACCCGTCCACGGCCTATCACCCACAGACGGATGGACAAACTGAGAGGGTGAATCAGGAGATCGAAAAATATCTCAAGATGTTCGTAGCCTACCGACAAGACGATTGGAGCGAGTGGTTACCATTGGCGGCATTCACTCATAACAATCGAAAGCATTCCACCACCGGTTTCTCCCCCTACAAGGTCGTCTTCGGCTGTGATGGGGAGGTTATTAAAACCACCCAACGTCGAGACGCAGTACCAGCTGCCTCCAAACTAGTTCAAGGGATCCAAGAGATCCAAGGCAAAGCTCGGGAATCCCTGGAACGCGCGGCTGAGTCGATGAAGAGGGCTTACGACAAGCACAAGGGGAAGGCACAGGAGTATCAGGTGGGAGATAAGGTTTGGTTGGACTCCACCAACCTAAATCTTCCTCGTCCAACAAAAAAACTAGGGGACCGACGAGTAGGGCCATTTGCAATCGTTGCAAAAAAGGGAGCATCGGTGTATGAATTGAAGCTTCCCACGAAATGGCGAATTCACAATCGGTTCAATGAATCATTGTTAACTCCGTACCATCCCCCAGAATTCACCAACCAACCGCGTCCTGAAAGGCCGCCCCCAGAGCTAATTGATGATGAAGAAGAATACGAGATCGAGGAGATCATCAGAGAAAGGGACCGAATCATCGGCCGTGGACAGACGCGCCGCACCATTACTGAATACTTGGTGAAATGGAAGGGTTACCCAATTGAAGAGAATTCCTGGGTAAAATGTTCGGATATGGCTAATGCTGAAGAACTAGTTAACGACTACGAGGCACGTATCCAAAAGGTTACCTGGACTGTGAATGCAAAAGGGAAGACAGTCGGAGTCGACGACAACATCCCTCGAGATTTGCCAGTCAAATACCATAACCCCGACACACCATGTGTCACCGACATCGAGACGGTGTACTCATCTGAGTGTACCAATCCCAGACACTCTGACACCCAACAAGACTCTTATGCCTCCTCCGAAGTCATCGATAATATCAATCTCTCCGATGACTATCCTGATGAAGAAGAGGAAATTAACCTACTGAAACCTCGAACGCATAAGAGAAAATTGGGACTCAGACACCGACAACGATGACGACACAGACGATGACACCTGGTCGTTCCATTCTGACTCACTGAAATTCATCTTCAGACGATGCCGGCGATTCAAACGACTCGTCCCAGACGAGCGCAACTTAGACAGCACATTTCAACGGTGTAGAAGGGGATTTCCACCGCTCAATCACGAGCATTGAACCCTTAGGGACCACGGGTCCCGACAGACAGATGAGGCCTAACCGGCGCAAGGTGGCTCAGGAAGGCTAGGAACCTGAGTCCAGGGGGAGAGAGGGTCAGAGGCCGAACACACGAAGTGACTCTTTTGCGGTGTAGCGGAGGCCCAATCGATCCTGTTTTAAAGCAGAAGGGAGACCCTCATTCTCGCTCTTGTGGAAGGAAGGAGAAACGAAGGTTCAGTGTCTCATCGGGACGAATGAGCCTTAAGGAGGGGGTAATGTTAGGATTATTCTTTTTCTTTTTCTTTTTCCTTTTCTTTTCTTTTCTTTTCTTTAGTCAGCCGGATTACGCACGGGCGATCATCATGGACTGACTCCCACAGTACTATTTTTAGCGTACAAACGTGTATTTAAGTAGAGCCTCAGCTGGCCTAAACCCCAGCTTCGGCTAAGGTTTAATCTACCTAATATCGAACTCCGTTCTTCGTGACTACTTGTCCCATCGACTTTCATCGCCTTTGGCCTGCTAGAGCGTCGTCTACCGAAGTGCGAGTAGCGATCCTAGCACGATCTAAGTCGATAGAGTTAGTGGCTAACAATGCTGTTTGCATGGGTCACCCAGCTCTTCCACTCCCTTCTGCATTTTATTATGCAGCCCCAGCACCCCAATGGCGAGATGCGTGTCTTTTCCAAGGCTAGAGATGCTACCAATGCCTCATCACTTCTCAACTCTCTCAAAGAGAATCTCCCTTTCCTTAGACATGGCCTTGGCAACATCATCATTACCAAAGTCAAATACTGCAAATGTCATCTTTGCAAAGGTAGTCCTTGGGAGCATGAGTTCCTGGTTGTGACGTTGGAGGAACTTGTGGGTGCTAAGCAAACAGCATACCTCATGGTCGATTGCTTGGTCGATGATACCAAGGAGTATGCTGGAGGAGAGGATAAGCTTCTGGCTGACATAGCTATGATCAATATGGACTCAGCAACGGACCCAAACTCGACTGCATCATTGTCTCCTGCGGAGTCCGGACCTGAGCCTGAGTCCGTGATGACAGCCTCGTCTCCCACTGTGCAACAGTGGTATACCCTGAATCATCTCCAATGCTCTGGCGCCAAAGTCAAGAGAATCACCAAGGGTGATCCTCCCGACACTCTAGACAGGCTCATCATCCTGCCAGACAAATGCGCCATCTCGAACGAGCTGGGAAAATGCAAGTTCGACATTCTCATGATGATGGACCTCCCAAAGGATAGGTCTATTGCCCTGGAATGTTTTGCTCACCTCCTCCGAACTATTTCGAGAAACACCCCGCAGTATCACTACGTCTTCACACAATGTTATTGGTATGCTTTTACCATTTGGAGAGTCCTTGAACTGGAGACGCAGCCACGTATATGCAAAACTGAGCATGCTGGACGGCAGTGTGTGTATTCGCGCTACGGGAAAAAGTTGGTTCTGGGGAGAGGCTCATTGGTGAATGCGAGGAGGGCCCCAGAGATGATAAGGGCACAGTGGAAGGTGGAAAGAATTATGGAAGACGAGGAATGGGCTGAACAGAAAAAAGTGAGTAATTATGGCTTCAGATGAACCTGAGCTTTTGCCAATAGTACACTCAGGCATTTCGTGAAGAAGTTCACCGTGAGGTGGCGGAGGCTGAAGAAGGTCGTCGCTGAGTGGAAGTTGCTCTTAGTGAGCTTCAGAAGGAGATGGAAGTTCTTGAGCACTGTGCTGGTCCTGCTATTGCAGTTTAAGCCATCTTGTTTTATTTTCTTTCCTCTCTATCATTTGCTTTCGAGTTATCCATTGCTATCGATCTTGCTACCAAGTTTTTGTATTGCTTTCGGTCCAAGTCCATGACCTTGCTTTGCTGTATGTAGTGTTGTTGGCACAAGTGCGCCATTTGCGCCATGGCAAGTGCCAGACGGCAGGTGCCATTGTGCCGAGGGGGTCACTGGGCACAATATGGCGCAATTAATATATGTAGAATTTGTATTTACATGGCGTACGAGCTTCCGGCAAAGGCACAGGTAGTCAAATATAATTACTCCTTCACCTTTTTTTCCCCTTACGCATGGCAGAGCGTGGACGCCGGCTACCGCCTGTGGTAGCTGCTAATTTAGACCGCCTGGAGCAAGTTAGCAACAAATCACGTCGATATTACTGGAGATGCAAATACTGTACAGCTGGGCAGGGTCTCAAGATGGAGGGCCGGGACAACGCACATATCATCCACTTCACAGATCCAAAAAAATGTCCTAATGCACCGGCACATGTGCGAAGGGATGCCCGAATTTACCTATCAGCAAAGGGTGGTAATCATGCCATCACATTCATCACCGAAGATGGGGGGCCATCAGCAGAAGACACTGGCCGCGATGATGATTCGGGGAGTATCACGGCTTCGGCCTCAGGCATAACAGCAACCTCGAATGTTATCGCTGTAAAGAGACGGAAATCAGGGACACTGGAGGAGTATGGACTAGACCATGGACTTACGGATACCCAAAAGCAACGTGCTGATGTTAAATTGTTTCGGTGTGCTCAATATCTATGCATGTAAGAGAAAGAATAGGCATCTAACAAGGAAATAGGTTCTTCGTGCATGCAAACATTGCCTTCTATGCCGCTGATGACTGGTATCTTGAGGATTTCCTGCATGAGATACGTCCTTCATATGATGCACCATCAAGATACGTACTCTCGCACTCGATTATAGCAAGTGAGATGGCTAGGGTGCAGATTGAGGAAATGGAACGGCTACAAAAGAGGAGTCGGCTTACGCTGTTGGTAGATGGGTGGGAGGATAAACTCAAGCGAAGCTTGTATGGAACGATCGCTTCCGAAGTGAAGCAGTATCCTGTCGTCTTGGGTTTGGAGGATGTTACAGGCCAGCGAGGATCTTCAGAGAGGATATTAGCTGTCGTAGAGAATGGCATGAAGAGCATGGGTATAGAAGACGGAAAACTCATCATCGCAACTACAACCGATGATCCCTCGGTAATGCAAAAATTCCGACGGCTGTTCAAAGAGAAATATTATTGGGTTTTGGTATGGGCTTGACTTCCTTGAAGGTATTCCATAGTAACGACTCTGACAACTAGGTTTTTGCATGCTTTCTGCATGGTCTGAACACGATTATCGGAGAAATCTGCACTTATGCACGCATGAAGAAAATTATCTCGCAGAGTACTCGTATTGTTTCCTTCTTCAACTCCTCACATTATTGGGGTGGACAGCTCAAAGAAGAAGCCAAAAAGATAGCGGTGAACCAGAAGCTTCAGACGAATACGGATACACGGTGGTACGCACTCATCTTGCAATCACTGAGTATTCAAGACCATAAGTAAGTGCGAGAATGATACAGTGAAGGATTGAACTCACTATTCCCTCAGACGACCTCTCTATGAGATATGCCTGCGCCCCGATGCTCAGAAGAAAATCGGCGGGCTCTCTCCTGTCGCAGTCGATGTTGTTAAGACAGTGATCTATGACCCAGAATACTGGACACTGTTGAACCAACTAATCAAGGTTAATAAGCCTCTCGTCGATGCGATTGGAAACTTAGAGTCTCGCGATGCTAATCTGGCCGACTGCATGCTTGAATTCATTCGCTGTGCCCGTGCAATGACCAGATTAGAATTGGAGGATGGCGAGGATTCTGGATTTTTCTACCATGCCAAAGCAGTCTTCAACCGCCGCTTTCACGAAATGAACACCGACACTCACTCCTTAGCCTTATTCCTCCACCCTTTATGCCGGAATCTTGCGGTCAACCAAGCTGCAAAGGCACGCTCTTTTGAAACCATGCTAAAGACAGCTTTGAGCATAGCCAAACAGTGGAGATGGGATGAGAACCGAGCCAAAGGGCTGGCTGCTGACATGAAGGAGTATTACCTCGCAAAAGGGCCGTTTGCTGGTGGGAAGGAAGATGGGCTCGACTGGTGGGAGACTCTACCTATTCGGGCAAAGGAACATCCCCTCAAATCCCTCGCATCCGTGCTTCTTTCCATTGTTCCCCATGCGGCTGATGTCGAACGCTTCTTTTCCCAATTAGGCGGTACTCAGACTGCAAAGCGTTGTAATCTTGCAACAGACACCTTCGAGTCACTTGGAAAATTACGCACGAATTACAACTACCATCTACATCAGAAAGCTATTCTGGAAGGGAAACCTGTGCGGCGCCGGCATGCTCATATGCATACTCATGAAACACCAGGTCTTAATACAGAATTAGCAAAGGAACTCGAGGCAAACTTCACCATTGTCCCTCCTTTCATGACTCAATCGGGACCTGCGGCATCGAGCTTTGAAGAAGATTCCTATGAAGAGATTATGGCAGAGATAGAAGAAGCATATAATGACATCGAAACGGATCTCGCTACTCGAGAAGAGGTTGATGTTGATGGTGCCGAGGTTCTTGAAGGTAATGTTTACAATTTTGACGAGCTTGCTCGGATCGATGAGGGCTTGGCGCCAGCTGGTTTTAGAGAGGAGTCAGATCATATTGGCGAGCCACAGTCTGTAGCGGGTGGGTGGGATATAGATACTCTAATGAAGGCAATGTAGTTTACTACCATCTCTGAAATTGCGCCGTATTGTGCCACACCCGGCAATTGCCATTGTGCCATTGTGCCGGCACAATTGTCCGAAATCTATTTTGCCATGTACACTAGCTGTATGCTGACTAGTACTGTACTTAAAGGTTTGCGACTCCGGTCTTGACTATGTATCACTACTAGTATATAATTTGCTTTCAAAATTCCCTCTCGCCTCAAACTTGACCATGTCAGGCATAGTCTGACTGGGGTAAATATGTATAAATAGGATGTGGCGCTGAAGCCATGAAAACGATCCGTCAATATAATGATATAGGCCGGGGAGGGATAGAATGATTGGCCGAAGGAGCATAGAATTCCAACTGAGAGATATGCACATCGACAATGAGAAGATTTGGAAGCGACGAGTATACATGCAGATATCCTGAACAAAATTCCAAAGATAATGATGAGACCGAAAACCGAGACGACACAAGAGGCAAGTTGCAACAAGGAGGCAGGCTAAAGACATAACAGCTTGTCATGCATGCTAAGGGATGAGGTCGATGGGACAGAACTTGTCAAACCCATCGGTAGTCAATCATCCCTTTAAGGTCCCCCAGAGGACAGTGATGGCCCATCAACCACCCCTGTCTCTAGGTTCCTCATCTGCCAGGGATAGAAGAAGGACTGGTATGCTCGTCCGTGAACCAGCCCTCCCTCGGTAACCAGCCGCATGCACCAGAGCTCGTCGACCACGTGCACTGCTGATCAATCTTGAAATCCTAATGCTGCGACGTAGTACTGAGTAGTTTGTGTAGTCGATATCCTCGTCCTCTTCAGGCGTTTGTCAGTGTATAATGGTGACAAGTTTATCAAGGGTTTTTGGAACAAGGGATCTGGGAATAAAGTTAGAACAATGAAAATACAATCGAACAGAATGAAAGTTCACGTAGCAACCTGCTGGCATGTGATAGGTGCAACAAGGGGGGAATGGTGGGGCATGGGGGTTTGCTGGTTGGAATGCAGCAAGGGGAAGGATGGTAATACACCCTTTCCTGGTCACTGCACCCTCCTAGGCATTGGAACGCAAGAGGAGGTCAGTATGGGGGTGTGGGATGGTCTGATCATCTGAACCGGGGAGACAGATGGCATCCCCTTTCGCTGAGAAGGGACTCTGATGCGAGATGGTGCTGAAGGTACAGGTTGACATAGTTGTGACCACCGGTGCCTCAGATGTCGACCACAAGACAGGCTTAGATGGCCGCTCCAATGAGCTAGCCATGACCTTTTCATACATAACATCACCCATCACCAGGTGTATCACATTAATTAAGTGACGATGCTCCCCGATTCCTCGACCACCTTGTTTCCGGGTTGCTGGGAGATGATTGGAATGTGAGATGGCAAGGGAATACAGGTGTGGGCACTAATGCATCGAATGAATCAGTGATCTCATTCTCATCAACGGATGAGTCTGGGGATGACGAGTCATGGAACATCAGGTTAGACAGCTGCTCCATTGAGCGAGCCATCAATATTTGCTCATCATCCTCACCGGATAAGTCTGAAGATGAGTCCTGCAGAACAAGATTAGACGGTTGCTCCAATGAGCGAGCCATGACCTTTTCATATACAACATCACCTACCAGCAGGTGTACCAAGATAACCATTTGATGATGCTCACCGAGATAGTTTCTTCCAGTTCTTGAATGACTGTGGGCACACTCGAACTTGTCGAGAGCACTTCTGGGATATTTTTCTGAAGATCGGTCACCAATAACAATGGCATTGAGAATGGCACAGTCTACAAGGTATGTGTTAGCACGTTCATGTGATGAAGATGAAGAAAAGCGTGTAGAGCGAGAAGACTAAGCACAAAATCATGGTAGCAGTTACAAGTAAAAAAGTGTCATACGGGTTTCCCGATCGTTGACACCGATGCATCGAGGATGCTACGTGTCCCAAAAAACATAATGGTGATATGGTGAAAGGCAAGTAATCGAGGTGTAGTTGGAATTTGAGATCTTCAAAGATGAACATGCATCAAATGTGTTGCTCGTGAGATTTGGATTCCGTCACGTATCCTGAAGTTAGACAGGCATCTGAGTAAGCAAGAAGAATGTTTCCGTAGGTGTCTCGTCAATGAGGCGGATATTGTTAAGTCGTCTGTCTGTTCATTGTTCATTGGGAAGGAGACCGGTCTCGCATCTACGTAGTACTAACGTGTCGAGGTGCATGTAGCTCACGGCTCCCCCGAAGTGCCGCACATGTTGGAGGCCATAATGAATTCCTTCGTTCAAAACATTCGAATCATGGTGGTTCTGCCACATCTGGACATTTAACCGAAGATTCAGTCGTGTGATAAACGCATTACATTTATTAGGGACATGCTTACCCTATTAAATATCTTGGATCATTAGTGAGGATTGCTCTCTCTACTTGGGCGAAAGAAAGAATTTCTTGTACGCCCTATCCTCTGCACTCTAGCCACCTGCGCACAGAATGTGGTCAGCAAGAAGAATGTTGGTATACATATCACAGTACTCACCTTGATAAGAAGTCCTCCAGCATTTACCATCAATATTATACCACCAAAAATTTTGCAGAACTTCTGGGATGTCAACATCGCAAAAGAGATGATTGACAGGCTCAGCAGCGAAGGACAGTGCACAGCGGCTGATTCGATTCCCAAACCATGGAGATAAGCAAATTATCCCAAGAAGAATCTCTCTCTGTAACATTGATTGAACGACTGATTTCTGGATCATGGTGTACTTGTAGGCCGCTAGCAGGACAAGGACTGATTGTCAGACCAAGGCAGAGTTGTTCGTAGTCGTAGGCCCAGAAGGAGAAAAACAGTGCTTAGATTGAGTATAAAAATTCTCCGAACTCTTCTGCAATCCATTGAAAAGAGTGAGAGGTTGTAGATTCAAGTGAACGTTGGTCACCCAATAGGTGTGTAAGATGCGGGGAAGAAAACACAGTGGCTGTGTTGCAATCCAGCAACTTGGCATTTTGATGCCCGGTCCCTACTGCGGTTTGGCAGCCTGCAATTAGTGACCACTGACCTGTCCTAGCCTGTCCTTAGCCTGGCAAAGACATCATTCCTTGACATGGACACGTATATTTTAAGGGGTATTCAGTGAGGGAGCACTTAACATTGTTACATATTTTCATTCCTCTGCATAGCAAGGACTTATTATCAATTTACCTTGGGAAATCATTGAGTGTCGCCTGATGCTCCGGCTCGCCGGTATCTCTAATTTCTGTGATGCGTATAACGATCATGATGCCAGTTGAAGAGCACAACCAGGAAAACCATTACACGTCGGGACTCCTGGCGGCGAGCCATCGTTGGGGAGGGGAAGGCTAAGACTATATTTGATCCTACAGGTTAGATGCACTGTCAGGTCTAAAAACAGATAAATAGAATATTGGTCCTGAAGAATCAGCCTTGTCCTAGTCGGCCCTCGTTTTTAAAATAATCAAGCATCTGGGATCCCACTGCTTCAGATTTTGGGGGCTTCAAGGTCGTCGTTGTGCGTAACAAGTTTAAAATGACCTGACGGGGTGATTGTCAAGAGAAACAACTTAACACCAGGCCTCATGCATGATCAAAAATCGGGTCGACATCACTACAAACAAGTGAAACATAGTCAAAGATGGAATGAAATGATAGCTGTGGGGGAAAACGTCTGAAATAGGGTTGCTTACTTGAAGGCTGAGCATTGAGCATTTGAGCTTGAATTAAATCAAGCTTAACATATATCTCATGACAAAAAGATAAAATTTCCAAGATCCCTAAGTGTAAATATCGAAAGAAAATCCAAAGATGCCAAACAAATATATGAATAGGAATGTGATAATGATAGGCTGACCTCGAAGGAGAAATATGCAAGTTCACGAGGTATAGGCTGTGTTATATCATGGAAAAGAGAAAAGAGAAACTCCAAAAAGACCAAACAGAAAGGGTATATGGGGATAGAACAAATAAATAGTGATAATGATATAGGCTGGAGGGATAGGATGATAGGCTGAACAGCTGTAGGATGTTGATGGAGAGATATGCACGTCAATGATAAAGAAATGGAAGCAATGAGCACTGAGCACACACAGATGTCCCAAGCAAAGATCCGAAGATAACGAGAGAATGAAAACCAAGGAGACGCATGAGACAACGAGGAGGCTGAAGAATGTAATAGTCTGTCATGCACACGAAGGGAAGGTGGCACAGAACACATCAACTACCCATCGGCAGTCAATGGTTCCTCAAAGATCCCTTAGAGAACGGTGATGGCCCATTGACCATCCCTGCCTCTGAGGTTCCTCATCTGCCAGGGGTAGAGGAAGGACCAGCTAGCTCGTCAGCGAACCAGTCCTCCTTCAGTGACCAGCTGCATGCACCAAAGCCCATCGACCCTGATGCACCACTGATCATCCCTAAAAACCCAATGCGGCAACGTAGTAGTGTGTAGTGGCCATCCTTGTCATCTCCATGCGCTCATTGGTGTTTCATCTAGTCCGCTCTTCGAGGTGAATATTGGGAACAACCATGCTGGGGAATAAAGTTAGAACCATAAGAATGCAAGGAGTAGAATGAAGACCTACGCAGTGGCATACTCAACACGCAGGGGACCCGCTTTCTTCCTGCGCGCACATTTTCGGTGCAAAGGCAAGGAAACAGGGAGGACCGAGGGGTTTTCGCTGGATGGGCTGCATCAAGGGAATAGATGACACTCCATCCACTCCAGATCGCTGCACCCTTACAGACTGAATGGGGATACGGGACAGCAACTGTCTGACGGTGCGAGGGGATCTAGTCACCTGAACCAGGTCGACAGACGTCATCTTATGCTTGGAGAGGACTGGAATGCGGGACAGCGAAGGCATGCCCTTGCGAATAGGTATGGCCGATGGCATCTCGAAGGAGTCATCAACCTCAAGGTCATCAAAGGATAATCCTGAGGAAGAGAGTCGTAAGGGTGGATTTGACAGTCGTATATACAAAGATTGTGCCATGAACTATGCAATATGATCTATCAGTAGTTGCATCACAATAGGCAACTGAAAATGCTCACCAATACCCCATCCTCATGGGATACATATCCTGAACCAAAAATCTCAGTGGACTCAACTGGAGGCAGGCTATGGTAGGCAAAGATTTCATCAGAAAACAACGATGCCTAAAAGTAGTAATGAGCAACCGTGAATATAAACACCATTTGTGCAGGCACTCACCTTGGCCTCTGAGGACCAACTGGGATCAAAATGTCTGAATTCTCCAGTACTCTCAAAGACTTGAGGCGAACTCAGAACTGAGTGCCATTCAGGAGGAGCCGACCGAAGATCCGTTATAGACCATAATGAAGACACGGATAAAACCATCTAGTACAAGAAATAACACATATTAGTACACTCGTCTTAAGAAAGCACTAGGGAGCTCACCTCACTACTACTAGTCTCATCTGCAACCTCATCAAAAACAGACTGGTCTACTCTCTCAATATCGGTGGTTGGGGCCAGATCATCTCCAGATGGCAACAGCATTGTAGATTCCATCACCTGTAAATCCTGAAAACATGAAACTCAGTGATTATCAGATATAATTTGGCCGGGTACTCACACCCATGCTCGCCACTGAAAGACTTGCAAATTCGATGGAATCCAAAACGTCATAAACTTTGGCCATCTCTTCAATGATTATGATTGATACCAAGTTCTCCTCCGAGACCCCTGCATACATACTGATTATTGACTGGGCCAAGATTGACTTGCGATAGACAGATGTATCCTATAGAGAAGGTTGTGTTATATCATGGATCAAAGGTATTGAATGGTCATGTTTACCTGAGCTTTGGGTATGTCAAAGGACATGTTAACTTCAGCGGGCCTACCGAACAGGTCAAAGTCATTGCTGCATGCGAGATTTCCAGATAAGAGAGATGCTGTATTATTTATCATCTATAATATATCATCATGAGCCAATGTGGAATAGAACATGATACATGGCACATACCCCGAGGTTCAGAACTAGCAATGAAGCTGTATCCTGCTCTGCACAATCCGCTCTGAGAATATCCATCGTAGCAATCTCGCCTTGTCCAATTCCGCTTTCTTGACTGGCCTGACCTCTCTCAAAAATGTCGGACATCACAGAAATGATGGCATGGTAAACCATCATTCCACAGTGCTCAACCAAGCCAACTGAGAGACTGCGGAGGATGTCGACGGTGAGGGAAGATTTGTCAGAGAGGTATTGAGTGATGAAGACACCCACAGCGGGGAAAAGGGAGAAGAACGATGTTGAACGACCAATGGAAGAAGGAGATGGATGACAGGTAGGAGCCAGGATGGGGATCGAGAGATGTTTGGAGGACCTGGACGGACACCCAAGTACTATTATGACAGAAGCAACCATCATGATAACCACCAACTGAACAAATGCCGTTACAATTATCAGGTTTGACTGAGCCTGAGTGACAATGAGCGCTGAGCATGTAGGGCGGGCTCGGATGGTTGCCTCGTTAGGTGGGCTGTCGAGGGGCATTGTCACACCTGGCACCAAGGAAGCTTCCGGAACCATCAACACGGCAAAGGACTCGACAACAAGGATGGACTCAACAGCTTCAGTAACCACACCTTGGCCAATGAAGTCCAGCCTGGTCTGCTAGATTTCTGTTTGAAAGGTGTTAGTTGACAGTTAATTGTGATACATCAGGAGTGTCAGTTTACATCTAGCCCATATACAGTAATTCCATCAGGATGACAAAGTGGCTTTGTAAGCTTCCCAATCTGTGTCAATAATGGCATCATTAGAAAAGAGGGCAATTCCGAGAATTGAACCCGGGACCTCAAAAATAAATCCAATAATATCACATGACTTTCTCTAGCAGGCATGCTAACCACTACACCATACTGACACTATATATATATCTTTTCATCTCTATATATACCCTCCCTCCCTTAACATTTATGACCTCATATTGATGCCCTCCCTTTGCTCCGCTCTGGTGCGCTCTTTTGCCTTTTTAGGCTCCCCAAATCAGCCCATCAATTTTGGCTGGATCCAGTGGCAGTGCCGCATTTTTAATACCCAAAATAGGGGCTATTTTCTGGTCAAAATAGCTATTGGGCTATTCTCAGGCTACTGGCTGGGCCAGGGGATGGCACTATAATCTGTATAGACATAAACAACATAAAATAGAGCCCTCTAATGATACATAGGAGCCCTGGATAGTGGGATAAAAGGGTAATATAATGAAAATCACATAAATATTCGCTTTTGGGGGCTGCTGCATGCATTGGATCGGCTGGAGGACTTCACCAATCGATTCCCTGACCTTGAAAACACCCAAAAGACCCCTCCACAGTACTTTTGGCACACTTTATTCCTGGAGATAAACAAAAATATTCGCTTTTTAGGGTGCAGCATGCTCCAGATCACTTTGAAAACATTACCAGTCGATTCCTATGCTATAAAAACCCTAGAATACATCCTCCCTCATAATATAGGTCCAGTATAATACAGTATAAAAGGGGGTATTAGGGGGCATACATCGCTTATTTTGTTTTTCCCACTTTGGATGGCCTGGGGAGCATCACCAATGGATTCCCTGATATTAAAAACCCCAAAACGACTCCAGCCTTCATCTATAGGGTCTCAAAAACGACAGAAATAATGATATTACAGTTTAGGAGGAGCACATGTAATAAATCCTATTTCTGGGCTTCGGATCACTTCGGAGTTTTGTCTATTGTGTTTATTGACCTGAATAACACTCAAATGACCCCACAGGACAAAGGAAACCATCAGAAATACGTGATAAAAAGAGTAATAGGGGGATGGAGGAGACATACCTTATATTTCGCATTTCTAATAGTTAGGGAGGGTATTCTTGTTATATAACAGACTGTATATATTGTACAATGGTGTGTACGAAGCCCCATGGATATCCGAAATGTATTGAATGAGATATGAGCAGATCATTCTGTAAAACAGGAGGAGCACATCCCATATTTCGATGTTCTGCTCATTCTATGGCCTGGGGACTATCAGAATCGGATTCCTTGACCCAAAAAACAGTAGGGCCACCTATCATCCATGCTATTCAGATGTTCAAACTCCGAAGTACAAGATGTTCTCTCATTTGTTACTTATATTGTCCTGTAGCTACATATGGCTGTATGTGTTATCTGGGTAAAATGGCTCCTATGGATGATAAGTGCCTCTACTGTTTTTTGGGTCAAGGAATCCGATTCTGATAGTCCCCAGGCCATAGAATGAGCAGAACATCGAAATATGGGATGTGCTCCTCCTGTTTTACAGAATGATCTGCTCATATCTCATTCAATACATTTCGGATATCCATGGGGCTTCGTACACACCATTGTACAATATATACAGTCTGTTATATAACAAGAATACCCTCCCTAACTATTAGAAATGCGAAATATAAGGTATGTCTCCTCCATCCCCCTATTACTCTTTTTATCACGTATTTCTGATGGTTTCCTTTGTCCTGTGGGGTCATTTGAGTGTTATTCAGGTCAATAAACACAATAGACAAAACTCCGAAGTGATCCGAAGCCCAGAAATAGGATTTATTACATGTGCTCCTCCTAAACTGTAATATCATTATTTCTGTCGTTTTTGAGACCCTATAGATGAAGGCTGGAGTCGTTTTGGGGTTTTTAATATCAGGGAATCCATTGGTGATGCTCCCCAGGCCATCCAAAGTGGGAAAAACAAAATAAGCGATGTATGCCCCCTAATACCCCCTTTTATACTGTATTATACTGGACCTATATTATGAGGGAGGATGTATTCTAGGGTTTTTATAGCATAGGAATCGACTGGTAATGTTTTCAAAGTGATCTGGAGCATGCTGCACCCTAAAAAGCGAATATTTTTGTTTATCTCCAGGAATAAAGTGTGCCAAAAGTACTGTGGAGGGGTCTTTTGGGTGTTTTCAAGGTCAGGGAATCGATTGGTGAAGTCCTCCAGCCGATCCAATGCATGCAGCAGCCCCCAAAAGCGAATATTTATGTGATTTTCATTATATTACCCTTTTATCCCACTATCCAGGGCTCCTATGTATCATTAGAGGGCTCTATTTTATGTTGTTTATGTCTATACAGATTATAGTGCCATCCCCTGGCCCAGCCAGTAGCCTGAGAATAGCCCAATAGCTATTTTGACCAGAAAATAGCCCCTATTTTGGGTATTAAAAATGCGGCACTGCCACTGGATCCAGCCAAAATTGATGGGCTGATTTGGGGAGCCTAAAAAGGCAAAAGAGCGCACCAGAGCGGAGCAAAGGGAGGGCATCAATATGAGGTCATAAATGTTAAGGGAGGGAGGGTATATATAGAGATGAAAAGATATATATATAGTGTCAGTATGGTGTAGTGGTTAGCATGCCTGCTAGAGAAAGTCATGTGATATTATTGGATTTATTTTTGAGGTCCCGGGTTCAATTCTCGGAATTGCCCTCTTTTCTAATGATGCCATTATTGACACAGATTGGGAAGCTTACAAAGCCACTTTGTCATCCTGATGGAATTACTGTATATGGGCTAGATGTAAACTGACACTCCTGATGTATCACAATTAACTGTCAACTAACTATCTTTCAAACAGAAATCTAGCAGACCAGGCTGTCACAGAGGCTTTTTGTAGACATGGCAACAAGTGAGTCTTTGAACAATGAGACTCAGAACAATGGAACATGGGCTCATGGACTTTGGCCGAAGCCCATTGCCCAAGCTCGTGCTGGTGATATCTGTCAGCTTGCTTAAGGATTTCCCTGGATTTTCAGGTACGGCACGTCACAGTTAGCGAGCGTGCTAAGTGTTCTCAGTGTCAGTGCAATCTTCAAGGTTTTATCTAGCTCCTGCGAGTGTGCTTGTAAGTTAGAGCCTAAGGCATGGGGTATAGGGTTTGGCCTTCTCATCATGCATGCCCATCAGGTACAGTGCTGTGACTAAGTCCTGTTTAGAATCCCGTTGCTTCTTATGCCATAAGTTATATTCCATGTCATTGCACCGCATAGCATTAGTGTTGACACGTAGTTTTAGTCCGCTCACTCACTATCTCTCAGTATGCGTGTAAAACACTCTAGATTGCAAAATTACATGCGTAAATAAGCTGCAGTCGCAACACCGGGATGGTCATTGACCAGCGACTCAGGGAGAATGAGCCCAGCCACCCCAGTAGAAGCCCCTCCTATGACCCACCTGAGTTTGTACAAGGCTCAAGCACAGGGACTTACGGACCGACAAATATATGATCTAACATGGCAGCAAATGTTAGAATGGACCAGCAGATGATTGCGGTACAATGTAGATTGGACCATGTCTGACCAAGGTCAAGCATATAAAGCTGCAGAATTGGGTTCCACACTGGAGGACAGGATACTTTGTACTGAAACCTGGTATCATGCCACCATAGACTGGAACCGAATACACCCCGACCAACCCATAGCGCCTGGACAGTGCTATGGTGAAGAATCATTCCCTGAACTAGGGATAGTAGGCCCAGAAAACCTGATCCCTGATACGACCTGGGCACCATTCAATACCCTGGGGATAACTGCTGCGGGAGGAGGAGGAAAGTTCCATGCCCGAAGTATGGGTGGAGACCCCACACAATCAGCGCCAACAGGAGAAACGGGTGGACCAGCACCCGCCACTCCTGGAGGAGGAGGCAGAGGAGGACCTCCACCCATACCACCTCGACCTTCAGCACAACCACCATCATCCCATAGTGATCAGAACCTTCGATCACTACCGCAACCTGCTCATCCCCCTCTACCACCCGATCCGCCAAACGGATGGGTTATCCCTGACGGACAAGCTAACCCCTGGGGAAACCTGAAACTGATGTTGATAGAGGTCCCCGACAAATTTCATGGGAAGGCCAGCAACCTGGATCACTTCTTCAATCACTGCGAATACTACTTCGAGGTCTTTGCCCAGTACTTCACACTTAACGAAGCATACAGGTATGGCCTGAGTCGAGTAGTCTTCATGGCCCACCGATTTGGTGGGGAAGCAATGACCTGGTGAGTCCATCAGCAATGACACTACAAGGACCCACACAGTGGAAGACATCACCTTCCCTCTTGGGAGACCTTCCAGGAAAACATCCGAACACCTTTCCGAGAGGTAGCAGAGGTCCAAATCAAGTGGATGCAATGGAAGAAACTGCAACAAGCACAGTTTGAAATGGCCATCAAATTCTTTGAAAGGTTCGAACAGCTGGCCATGGAAGTGGAATGCTTTGACAACGATGCGGAAATGGAGGAAGTCATCGCCCTCGCAATCTGACCCAGGGTCAAGGAGATCATTATGGGTGGAGACAATATGCGACCTACCACCTACTGGGAGTGGAGGTGCAGGGTCCTACAAATGGACAAGAACTATTGAGTTCATCTCACACAAGGTGGGAAATATCCCAGCAGGACCACTGGTTCCAAGCCCAGAACAGCGGGGGGCTCTTCGAGTGGCTCGAAGGGCAGAAGGGACGCCACTGGATTCACCTACGGTGGTGAAGGCAAACCTATGGACATCAATCATCTCAAAAGAGAAAAGCAATGTTTCTGGTGTGGACACACTGGACA